GGGATTTTCATGACCTTGTTGTGACTTTGACCCTCCAAAAACTAATCATTTCTAAGTTGTGTCATAGTCTAATTGTATACCAAGTTTCATCCAAATCCATATAGCCATTTTCAAGAAATCTTGCTGACAAACACACACAGGAGTGAAACATGTATTGTAGTTATTCCAGTCATATTTTCTAGAACTGGCTAGTAACCCTGCCTTCTTTCAATCACGCATAATCCTACAGAATTGTCATTCTTAGCATAAGCTTTTTAATCGTCAGCTATTTAGCTTTTTCACAAATATATCCAATATATCTTACAAAGCAAATGTAAGGACTTTTTTACACACAGGATTTCTCCCTCAACCAGGGGCACCGCGGTGGAAGGGATCAGACGTAAAAATATTGGATTTATCTGATTTTCGTGAAACTTGTAAAGGATGTAGCATGTGAAGAGAAATGACGTTTGAAATTTACAGTTTACAAATCGAACAAACGTTGTTCGAATTATGACTGGCTACATCATCAGCAGAAACCCCATAGTACTTCTTGTTGCGTAACTCACGGGTCCGCTTCGTCGACCTTCTTTTTTGCCTGTCGAGACATCTGTTTTTCAGACCAGAGTCCTAATATTGTTAGGAAAGTTTGAAGTTCATTCGTAATGTAGGCCTACAACAACGTACGACAGTGTACAAATGTTCCAGCTTGTAGAAACATTAAAGGAGGAAATAAACTAATTTGTGATAGTTATGTGGACTACAAGTTGAAATATATTCACCACATAATGTAAAAGAACCCGCCAACGAAAGAACAATGCTACTCATTCTTGGCCACACTCCATTGATTTCCTTTGTCTTATAGAAAACGTATATAAATTTCACGTCCGTGTTCCTCTGCAAGCTAACTTTAAAATGTTGACCATACTCTCCCGCCTTCCCCTCCAAAATACTATTATTTTCTATATGTATCAAACTCGTAGTCATGATTAACTATGAATTTCACTTCTAATACCAAATGTTCTCAACTGGATTATTTTGTAACTCACAAATAAATCACAGTTTTTTTTTGTGGTTTTTTTTGAGAAATACAAATAATTAAGCTGCAAAAAAATTATATTCTCAAAAGCTTCGAAATTTACCATAACACGCGAGTAAGTTTCAATTCTTCTGGCTAAAAAAAAGCAGTTTTCTGTCATTAAAGACGTACTCATTGACTCATACCTTAAATCTATATAGTTTGGTAATGTTAAAACAGTAACTCACTCGCTAATTTTTTTAATACTAATTTATCATAACATATTATCAGCCCACTTTATTACATTTTATGAAATTCTTCTCTCTCGAATATCTAAAAAAATTTCATTTAATAAATATTAACAACTTTCAATCAGAGTAAGCTAAGACAACGTAACTCTGTTCTATATACAAAAGCATAAACTATTCCAAATTTGCTACAAAAAAAAAGAAATTTCATAAGGAAAACATGAAATTTAAATATTATTATATCGTAATAATTAGCATCAAACTCATAGGTGGAAAAATAATCAATCCTGGTGTAAGACTTTGTAATTAAACACCGAGGAAACTTGCTTATATAATTACACTGGTTGGGTAGCCTAAACTGTCCATGTACAGCCTTTACGTTTTTCACATAAATAGCTAATATTAATAATTACGATTTAATAACTCTATGTGCATTTATGTATGGAAGTGTGTGTGAATAAATATATATTTAAAACATGTTTTAACGTACAATTGATCGTGTAAAATAATTAAGTAAAAAGAAATTAATTTCACCCCCTTATCAGTAACCCTTGACAAGGGTAAATCGAAAGAATAAAACTAGGCTACGTACATCGAAACCAGTGAAAAGTGGTATTAAATTAAAACCAAATGATAGATTGGGCTTTGAATTTGTTTATTTTTGTTATATTAAACAGCTTGTTTGCCTGAATAGTTCACAAGAACAGATTAGTGGCGTTAATGGTGCATATTTTTCAAACTCCAATACAAATAGAGTGTTTCTGTGTGAGCAAAAGACATTTCAAAATACCATACATATAATTAAAACAATATCGAAAATGAATAAACTTTAAATAATGTTATACCATACATAGAAGTTTTATACAACTTGTATTAACTGTACACGTAAGAGCTTAAACAAACGGGAGGTAAAAGTAAGGGTGTTTAAAACTATCTAAAACAATGTTTAAGAAATTAACATTTAGACCTAAAAGACTTGTGATGTTCAGTAAAACTTTTAAACCCATAATTAGTAGCAATAATTTTGTTGAATTTTCTGCAAAATTGAATAAATCTGATGTTCAAAATGCGATACGAGAAACCTTATTTGTGATTTGGTTTGTTTTGAATTTGACGCAAAGTTACACGAGGACGATCTGTGCTAGACATTCTGAATTTAACAGTGAAAGACTAGATGGAAGACAGTTAGTCATCATCACCCACCGCCAACTCTTGGGCTATTCTTTTACAAACGAATAGTGGGATTGACCTTAACTTTATAACGCTCCCGAAGTTGAAAGGGCGAGCATGTTTGGTTAACATGCATGCGAATCCGCGACCCGCAGATTGCGAGTCGAGCTTCTTAACCACCTGGGCATGCCAGACCCCTTTATTTATGAAAACTGTTAATACGCCTAACTTGGCTCAAAGGAAGGGGAAAGTGTGAGAAAGAACTGACGAGAAAACGAGGCGACCTTTTTTTTTGGTAAATGAATATTTGAAGTTGTGTGACACGTAACCCCCCCCCCTCAAGTTATGAGCCTGTATAATGTTGGACAAATTCTATTGTATCTAATAAGTCATGAATAGTAAACCTTGTAAAATAACGCATTTTGGAATATTTGTATAACTTCTAAGTTAAATGAAGCCTTTTTTTATATTTTTTTTGGGGGGGGGAACTTTGAACTAGATTTATGCTGATAGCTAAAAGCAGGTAGCATGCTTTGTTTTTAGCGAAATAGCTTTTTTTTTCATGTAAATCTGGTTTTCTAAATGATATGACTATGGGGACTTTAACATTCATTGGTTGGAATCCTTTGGCACTTGGCAGATACACAGCTGTACACAGCTGAAAGAAGTCAGGGTTACTAGCCAGTTCTAGAAGATATGACTGGAATAACTACAATACTTCATGTAAATCTGGTTTTCTAAATGATATGACTATGGGGACTTTAACATTCATTGGTTGGAATCCTTTGGCACTTGGCAGATACACAGCTGTACACAGCTGAAAGAAGTCAGGGTTACTAGCCAGTTCTAGA